AGTCATACTTTAGCAAATATTAGTAGGTAAGATTAACTGCCTTTACAAAAACCAAAAGCCAAAGTCTAAGAAATCTGTTTAATAAAGGTTAGAATCACCAGATTCCCCATAATACGATATTATCGTAATATTTCACTTACCATACAAAACTATTGCGATTTTTAACATTATGTGATATGCTGAGGATTGCAATGACATATCTTGTGATTTATCACTTTTTTCCAGCTGCAAATTAAATCTCGAAGTTACAATTTTTCATTGACTCTTTTATCCAATAAGATAACCTTATTGTACTTTATTTATGCTGCTCAATTAGGTTGTCAAGCAGAACAACACTGACACTAAAACCTGCCAAAATGTTGCAATAAGATGGAGTCAGTCTGCTGATTCAACTAGGTCATGTTGGCAGTTACAGGAAATGAAATGAAACTGTGATAAATCATCAAAAAAACATTACTTATATGCCTCTGTCTACATAGGAATTCACATTTGAAGGAAATTTACATTGAATCATTACATCATTTTTCAAGAACCTTCCTGTTTCGTACGAGTACAACCAGCTGGCAGCCAACTGAGTTGAGTTATGCTCACTTGCTCTGGATTTATAAATGAAACAGTAGTTATTTACAAACCTTTGACAATTTCTCTGAGAGTTATTGCAGACAGTTCAAGTCAGACTGCAACTGTTTGCAGAAAGGTTGCCTCCTATCTGGCGAACCGCACAATCACCTTGCAATCAAAAGTGGCAATGAGTGTACAGCACCAATGGTTCAGGGCAAACAATATACACCTACAAAGATGTTGCTGTCCTAGTTTTACTTGTGTGACTAATTCAGAGCATTAGCTTGCTTTGAATTAGGAGGTCGTGTGTCCAGTGTTGGATGGTTTTTCACTTGATTTGATTTAATGTAAGTGCTTGGCTAACATTATCTCAGGATAGTGGCACATGAGATGTGCCCATAGTTTTCCTAGATTATTTTAACTTATTTAATAAAATATGGATATTTGGTGTCCCTGGATCAATACATATGCCATGCAATATATCATGATACTATATACTGATTTTTTCCCCCACCCCTACAATTTAACACGATTGACCACTCTCTATCACACATAGAAACCTGGTATGGCTTGCTAACTTGCATACTAGCTGCAAAAGTAAACTCCCCAGGTTGTTCTGCGAGTACATTTCTGTTAAATAAGCCATGGACTCATTCCTTTCTTCCATACTGTTCTTTATATTTTGACCACATAAAAGACTAACTGAGTCTTTTGAGAGCTAGATAAACTTGATTAAGGTGAGAGCAAGAGAAACTCCCCTCAGCTTCTCAAGTCTGGGAAAGTCAAGCAACACATAGCATGACAGTGCTACACCCAAACAATAGAATGAACAAGCGAAACGTTAGTGGTCTTTGTGTTTAGGGGAAGAAAAAATAAAACACTGGGGAAGAGCTGCTGTAAGTGTTACCTTTCTGCAAAAGTGAGGCATGCGAGTGTGCTGCAAAGAGACAGTGACACAATTGGAGTGAGCAATACTCAGTGATCCATTCAAATGTTCGCGTTCACTGGAGCAGACAGGGCACCCACTCAGAGACAGTGCATCAGAATCCTCCTTGTGAAGGCGAACTGCTCATTCTTTCTCTGCTGGAAGCCACAAAATAACCCAGGATAACCTCGGAAAGCTCAGCAAGGACTACTCAGAAGAGCAGGAGCAAGAAGGAGAAAAATGAGGCTGAGCCAGCCTAAGCCCAATCTGACTTTTACTTTCCATCGCCAGTGGTCAAATGTTTCAATCAAACCTACAAGAGGGATTAAATATTCATAATATTGAAAAAGCAAAAAGTGCAACAAACATGAGCCATTTGAGTAAAAAGAAAAAAACAAAAAAAGCAATAAATGTGGTCAGTACTATATGCTGGTATAGTACCTTCAAAGTCTTCATGTTTTTTTGGTTTATCAAAGTGATCCATTGACTCCACTAATCCTTCTGAGTAGACCTGCAACGGATCACCACTTCTCAGATGGGCTCAGGTTTTCTCAGCTGGCAGTGATATTTTATGACAACAAAGCCTGCTGGTCAGCCAGCTGCTGACAAATCCCTGGTATGACGTATGTCTCGGTTTTGGTTGATTCTATGCCAAGCTAACACACACACACACACACACACACACACACACACACACACACACACACACACACACACACACACACACAGTGTTGTAGTATGAAACGCAATAGTGTA